ACAGAGTGACTGGCTTCGCAGGACAAACAAGTGCAAATATGGTAAGACTAGGAAATGGTTGTGGGACACCTGGGGGAGGGAGTCCAGATTAGTGAAGCTTACTGCGGAAGGCAGGTTGTGCTTCTCGCCCTGGCTCCTAACCCCGGCTGGTCACGGGGAGCGCTGTAGCTCCCCTCCCTAAACCTTCGAGTTGGAGAGTATGATACATGGATTAGTGAATTCCTTTGGTACCATTCAGGCATAATTAGTGATCTGCTTGACAGAAGCCCCTTTCTTTTTTGTCTTTTTGGAGTACTTTCGAAGAGGGATACTGGACCCGGTTTCCAGGAGCCTATAGCTGGGTAAAGGCCCGAGCATGTTTGTACCGGGTTGCGATGTTGAGGTATATTCCCGGGCCTCTGTCTCTCTGTTGAAATAAACGGTTTTCACTCCCCAAAAAAAAAAAAAAAAAAAAAAAAAAAAAAAAAAAGAGCCCAGAGAGTGTACAGCTATGATGGTGGCACGCTCATGGCACATTTGTGTTGTCCTCCCGTGTGCAGCCATGCACGAAGAGACGCTCAATCATGACGCGTCAATGGGCCTCGCTGCACTTCTCTCCAAATGTGAAAGATTGTGCATGTGGATAGTAGTGCAGCGAGCTCACACGTTGAGGAGCGTGGTTCACTGAACTTTGCAGGTATCCACGTCCATGGCTGGCTTTTAAGCATCCTCTCACGCTGTCTCCAGCGTGGCAGTACTCTTTTTTTCTTTTTTTTTTGAGAAACCTAGGGCGCGGTCAGGGTTAGAGTTTGAAAATACGTAACACGTTTCAAACTTCCGTTTTCGAGTCCAGTCCCCTCTGAAGTTTACACTGCAGGCCAAACTCCCCCTTCGCGTGGCTGTCTCAGGGCAGAGTTTGTAACTACAGTCTAGTCGTCCACGTCGGAGGGGCAGGCCGTTTCCGAAAAAAAAAAAAAAAAAAAAGAAGAAACAAAAAAAAAAAGAAAACATCGTGTTGCTATATCTTTCCATGTTTTAGGGAAGATTCACTCTCAGTTTCCACGAAATGTGCAAAAAGAGAGTGAATCTTCTCTAGAACCTGGAAAGATACAGGGACAAAGAAGCAGAGGCCCTAGGGGATACACGTGCTGACAACGACCCAGTTTCTTCTGTTTTTTTCCTTTTTTGTTCGTGGCGGTGCATCTTTCCATGTTCTAGCAGAAGATTCACTCTCGTACTCTCGAAATGTGCAAAACGAGAGTGAATCTTCCGCTAGAACATGGAAAGATACAGCGCCCTGATTTTTGGCTTTTGTGCATGTCTCCTCTTTTCTCTGTTTTTTTTTTTTTTTTTTTTTTTTTCAATCTCWSCCCYGTYTTTTTTTTTTTTTTTTTTTTTTTAATCACGGGCCCAGTGCGCAAGGCTTATATTTCAGAAAATTTGAGGCCGGGGTCCTCACAGTCTACCCGGGGCCATGTCCCACTTCTCGAGGTTTTGTTCTGGTTTCGAGTGTAGATGGCTCCTTGCCATCCGATCTGAAAATCTCACGGCCCTGGTGTGGCCACGTTGGAAAATACACGAAACGTAAACTAAGCCCCCTCTAGTGGGTCAAGGCCCCCGGTTGACGAGTTAGGGCCTCGCCAAAGCAAAAAAGTTCCGGAGCACTCTCCAACGAGGAGGATGTGAATTTTCCGTTCGAGAGGGCTCGTCGCCACACTGCGCTCTCCAAGGCGGCAGTCTCCAATTCTTCAGAAGAGGCCCTACATTTTCTGGAGAGCGCAGAAGATGGGCCTCGCCACACCACTCTCGAAATGTGCAAAATGAGAATGAACTTCTCGCTAGAACATGGCCAGATGCACCCGCCGCATTTTTTGTCTTTTTCACATTTCGAGAGTGGTGTGGCGAACCCAGACAAAACGGTGGCAGCAGACATTTGTCGGTCGAGGCGCACTCTCCAATTTGGGGGCGAAATCGGAGGAGCCTCGGACCACTCCTCAAAACCGGTGTGTTGCAGGCGGGGCGATCCACAAACTTCGAGAGCACTCCCGAAACCCGCGTTCTGGCCGCCCTCCAATTTTTTTTCTGACACCGATTTTGGAGAGTTGGTATGGCGATGCTTCTCCTCTCCAAATCGGTGTTTTCGGGATAGGTGTGGCGAGGCCCTTAGTCACAGTTTTTGAGCAGGGGCTTTACCCCTGGGGGGAGGTCCCACTAGCAACGGGATAGGATAGAAACGAGTTTGTGGGGCAGTTGAGTGACCCAAATCCTGCCGTGCACTACTGGTGATCCCACCGTCAGTATTTTACATGTATTACCTGAAAAAATAAGGAGATCTTCGYTCCCSTCCTCCTCTCCTTAACACTGGGCATGCCCGTGCAAAGMCAGCTTCCCGCCAGAATCTTTTCRATCGGTTGGGGCTGTGGCCAACCCCAAACGAGGTTGGGGTCGGCCTTAGCCCACTGGATAGAAGATTTTCAGCATTTTACTTGCTGTTGTGCAATTATCTCATTGGGTGGAGCCCTCCTTCAATCACGGAGTATATGGAGGATGTCAGGATCACTGCTGTCAGAAGTCGAGTTTATTCCAGAAAATGTGACGGTTACTTTGTTCACTGTTTTTGCAACCACCACCATCAGATCATTTGTGATCTGATGGCTGGGAAGCACACTGCTGTGATTTCCGGTGGGAGGTCTCTGTCTCTTCTTTTTTTTTTGGCCTTTTTCCTGTTTTCTCAGCCCAGAAATTCGTAATGAACTTGTCACACTGGATCGGGCACACTCCTATCCGACTGCTAATGGGACCTCGCCCCTGGGTAGAAAGATAGGCTAGCTGTAGTCTGGGCGTTTTTCTTCTTCTTTTGGTTGTTTTCCTGTTTCTTTTGGTTGTTCTTCGGCAAGCTAAGGCCGGCCGGACTCTTATTTTGGGTTCGGGCTCTGCCAAGTGTTGTTGGGGTAAAACCCACTTTCCTTCTGGGTATTACTCCCAGGTCTGTCAGGGTTTTCCCGGGCTCATGTTTATCATGATAATGGATTCCTCACTTTTTCCCAAAAAAAAAAAAAAAAAAAACAGTCTACCCTGTGGCTGGGAGCATTACCCAGTTTCGCGTACGGGATGGGACCACATCCCGAGGGAGCACCAAGTCCCTGACTTCCAAAATCTTTACTTCCCTTGTGTCTGGCACATTCAGACCTAAACGGTTGTCTGAGTTGTACTAGTTGACCGCCCCTAACTGCGGGGCAGCGGAGCTATACTCCCTTGCTATCAGTGACACTCACTCCCGTCGCGTGGCTGGCCAAGGCCGCAAAAAAGAAAAAAAGAAAAAAAAGAAAAGAGAGAGAGCATCTCGTCGCGTGTGGCTGGGCCACGGCCGAGATGACTGGACTGCAGTTGCAAACTCGGCCGCGCGACTTTTGTGCATGTCAAGAGTTTCAACTGCAGTTGAAACTTGGGACGGTACTGGACTCCAAACAGGCAGTTCGAAATGCATTTACAAACTGCTTTCGTGACCGAGGGCACGCTCACACTAGGTACCAAAACCGTAAAAGTCCCAAAAAAATGTGCACACGGCTGGTCACACACAATGGTTCCGACCCCAAACACCCCATTCGCAAACCCATTTGTCAGCGGCCTGCCTGGCCGCGGGTTTGAGGAATTTGCGGTAACCTCCAGAGGTTACCGCAAAATCCTTAATTCTTTTTTTATTTAATTTTCGTAAATGAATGCAAAGTTGAAAAGGGAACATGTACGTTCTATATTTGGGGTTACTTCTGTGTGACTGAAAACCCCAAACAGCAGCACCCTGATGGCACGGTAGCTACCGTGTCTTTAGCGAAATGGGAACGCGGTGTGAACGCAGTGTGACCTGAAACGTCCCAAATACCCCAATTCGGTCCAACCCATTTTCGCAATTTATACGGATTTGCTACCGCAGTGTGAGCGTGCCCTGAGCCCTAGTTACCCCTTTTTTTTTTTTTTTTTTTCCAAATTGTTGTGCGGCGTGGCGCACCCCCACCAAAAGAATTTCTTGGAAAAACGCCGGCCGGCAAGGTGTTCTTAGAGTCCTACCGTAGTGGGGTATGGGCCTCGTTAGACCCTCCTTGGAAAATCCTCAGGAATTAGGACGAGGTCCTTGGAAAAATTTTCCGTTTTCAGCGTCGTTGTTACACCGCGTCCTAATTTGATGGGTCCCAAGGAAAACCCTTGGAGGCCTCCGGTGGCCAATTTCATATGCATACACGCGGCCGCGGGGGGCGGATGTCCGTCGTTGTGCTGTGATGTCTGTGCGTCGTCGGCGTGGTCCAGTGGCTGCGACAGGGAGGCCCGCTGCAGGCCAGCAGGGTGGGAAAACAAATTGGCGCGACCATCCCAGTTCAAAATTTGAAATTTCAAACCTTCGTAGTGACGCTTCCGCGCCAGAGGCGAGAAGGCCGCTGGAGTGCACACTGGAGCCAAACATCCGTACGGAGGAGTACTGGCGGGCATTGGAACTCACGCCGGCGTAGCATGAACGGTAACGGTCGTCCCGCGCGACGTCGCCAACGAGTTCCACCTTCCTCTACGGGCCGTCCATGACAATCCTGTGGACTGCCATAGCTGACCGCGTACGTTGGGGGGGTGCGTGAAGCATGGGATTCCGTGAAGCACGTAGAGTGCTGCGGCGACATCTGTCGACGTGGAGACAAGGGAACGAGAGCGCCGGCGAGCAAAGGGGTGTTGGGCATTTTCGCGTTGCACGTCGTGAACATGGACTCATGGAGGGAGAGGTGCGGGCTGTTGGGAATGCATTGACGACTTCGGAGAGAAATGTCGTGGTTGCGTCTGTGTTGGCCCTCGCCATTCGTTATCGCATTGAGAGAGCCACAAGTCACCTGAAGATGAGACTGTCCATTCGCCGGCAAAGGTAGCTCATGCAACATGTTATGGCGGCGCCCGATTGTGTGTCGTTGTTGGAATCCATTGTGTAGTTCTGCTGCACTATGGCATCGGGTGCGATCCCACGGGCGACTCCGAGATGGTGGATGAGGAGAAGGATGAGTGGGACATAGGAGGATCTCCAAAAGATGGATGACGCAGCGGAGGGCTACTATAAGGAGAAGCTGCGGATGTCCCGTAGAGAGTTCCTGGAGATCGTCGAGGCGTTGTCCTCTGCAGCACAGGGTGACATTTTACAGGGAGCCTTTGATGCCCGATCACATCGTCGCATACGCACTTTATCGTTGGGCAAGCGGGGAGGCGTACGAGAGCAACACGTCGTCATTCGGTATAGGTCACATGTCAGGATTGATTGCAGTGGAGGACGTGACGAGGGCGCTTCTCAGTGTGTACCGAGAGACGATCATTTGGCCTTCTGGGTTGCGGCGGCTGGTCGTTCTGCGCGCGTTCGAGGCGAAGGGTTCCCCAACTACTATGGCTGCATAGACTACACGGACATCTACGTGGACAAACCAGCCAACGCGCCGTCCGAGAACTATTTCGATGGGAAGCATCATTTTTCGGTGGTTGCGCAGGTGGTTGTGGACTTGGACTTGCGTGTGACTGACGTTTTCGTCGGCTATCCCAGGAGCTGTCACGACATCCGAGTGCTTCAATTGTCTAGTCTGTGGACGCGCGCTGAAGAGGGGAATCTTTTTCGTGGTCCTGCTGTGCTCCTGCCATTCGGTAATTTCGAGGTGCAAACACACGGGTACATCCTTGGCGATAATGGCTATCCTCCCATGGAGTGGATCATGGTGCCTTTTGGACAGACCGATCAAATCTTCGACGAAGAGAGGTTGAACAACAAGCAGAAGGTCGCCAAAGGAGCGGTGGAGAGAGCTTTTGGTAGGTTGAAGGGGATGTGGAGGCTTTTCCTCCGCACACACAAAACAAATATGGACACTCTACCGCAAACGTTCCAAGTCGTGTGCATTCTGCACAACATCTTCCTGGATACTGGCATCGACTTCGATGACAACTTGTTGTGGGAGGTGGACGCGAATGGTGTGCGCCGGCGAGTGGACTTGGGGATGGATCATCCACCCCACCCCATTGCGGAGAACTTCAGTCGGCCCCAGGCGCTGGCCTTGCGCGAAGCACTTGCAGAGCGCATGAAACACGAGTAAACGCACTCGTGCACTCTCAACTGCACTACCTAGGCTGTTGCTCTGTTGCGGAGGACAAGCGTACTCATGTTCGGCGTTGGTCGCCACGACCGGGTGGGGGGGGGGGGGGAAGGGGGGGGGGGGAGGAAGGGGGGGGGGGGGGAACATTCATAGCCGGGTCCATGCATTTTTGTTTTTTTTTTAGTGTAGATTTATTTCACGTTTTCGTATTGTCGGTGTTTTTTTCTTGCTAAACATTTGCAGAGCGATGGACGATGCTCCATCAACGATTTTAATATGGTGGCGCTATGATCGCTATCGCCTTTACTCTGTGTTTTGAACTTTTGCAACACTTGTTTTTGTCGTCCTTCTATAGTTGTGTGGCCATCATGATGTTACGGTTCAAATTCCGATCCCACTCATTCTGTGCTTGGTTGTTTGCTGCATGTCTTCGGTGATGATCCCATCGGAGTCATATCCACGGGTTCAATCACATTAAAATCGATGAATCAATCATTCAATCAATCGATCGATCAGCCAATCATTCAATCGATAGATAAATCAATGAATCAATCCATCGACTGATCGATGAATCAATCAATCAATCATTTAATCAATCAAACAATCAATCAAACAATCGATGAATCATTCAATCAATCAATCGGCCAATAGATGCATCAAACAATCAATCAATCAATCATTCGGTGAATCAATACGGAAATGACAATCACAAACTCGAACGACTGAAGTGGGCAGTATTCGTGTGCGAAAAAAATAATAAAAAATAAAATGGTGTGGCAGAAAGGCTGAAAGTTGCACTAAATATCACACATCATATTCACAAGTTGTCCAGTACAGCATTAAAGACGCATGCAATTATTGGACGATCCCTGCTCTCCGAGATCATACACAAATCACAAACATGGACATGGGGGAGAGGAGCACAAAGAAGACAACGCATGCGAGAAAGATGCATTCGCCCACGTGGACGTAGTTTTTTTTTTTTTTTAACATAAAAAGGTGTCATTCTCATAATGGCTTCCTTTTAAATGCACTCGACACAAAAATAGCTACGTGAACCGACCATAGCGACAACCACCGACACCAACACAACGCCTGTGCATTAACAAAGCCGCGCCCGACGGACGTGGCAACCCCTCCACCACCCCCTCCTCCAGTTCCCCTGCCACCTCCTTTCCTTCCCCCAACCCCTCCTTCCGTTCCCCCACCCTCTCTCTCTCTCTCTCTCTCTCTCTCTCTCTCTCTCTCTCTCTCTCTCTCTCTCTCTCTCTCTCTNCTCTCTCTCTCTCTCTCTCTCTCTCTCTCTCTCTCTCTCTCTCTCTCTCTCTCTCTCTCTCTCTCTCTCCGGCCGAGAGTGGTCCTCGACGTCGATGCCACGGCGGGGAGACTGCTGACCGCTTGCCTGCGGAGGCAGCAATGGACGCACCAGTCGTCAGATCGGACCTGCGCTTTGCTGGCGACCACGTTCACATCGTCGCGCGATGAAAGAACGACGTTGAGGCAGGAGAAGACATACGCGTCGAGGCGCCTTGCACATGCTATGAAGCATACCCGTGTCGGTCCTATATACTGCTCAGCGCGCTTCCGACAATATGGCGTTTAGTGAATAGGGTTGCGCAGGCGATTGAAGTCCTTCCGACTGCCAGTGATCGACGTCAACCGATAGCGAACGGTCGCCACCCCCAAGCGAAGTGACCGGCTTCCGGCTTCGTCGCCACACATATCCTTGTTGCAGTTGTGGGTCGACTGTGCCTTTTTCCTGCCTCCACAACAACCTATCCCCCGAAGCCACCCTTCCGCACTTCGAAAAGTTCCCGCCCGCCCTTCCCACCTCAATTGCACCCCCCCCCTCCCCACCCCCACCCCCCCTCCTGCCTGGCTACCAATCGGTCCATCCAGCACCCGCGACTCGCCGAGTCCTCTCTCTCTCCCTCTTTCTCTCTCTCTCTCTCTCGCTCTCTCGCTCTCTCCCCTAAAAATAAAAACATACACATCTATGTATGTATTATACACAATAAATTAAATGTATATACGTACGCAGGCGAGTGCGCCAGTACAACACAACAAGAGACGAGCGCATCACCTGCGGATGCACGGACAGGATGACCGACGCAGGAGCAGAGGCTGGATCAGGACCTGTCCCTGATGGCCTTGGCGATCTCCAGCAATGCAGTGCACATCAACCTATTAGCCTCGTCGGACGCCTTGTAGTGCCGCCACTGGGCATCAACCTCACGCTCGAGAATGTTGCACTGCCGCTCCAAAATGGAACACTGTCGCTTGCTGGCCCCCTCCACCGTGTCAGCCATCAATGCGTCGTGCTTGTCAATGACTTCAGCAATGGCCTCGAATGTCTGCTGGTGCATGTTCTTGCTCTTGCAGTTCCCTCCCGTGCTGCCTGCACTGAAGCCAGACTCCCGCGCCGACCCTCCGTCGTCGTCGTTCCCATCACCCCCATCACCCCCGGCGGCGGATTCTCCAGCAACGGATGGGGAAAGTGGCATTTGTAGTCCTCCACGGGCACTTGTGTCGGCGACGTTGTCCTGGTAGATGGTCTTGTTGCCCTTCGACATGGCATCTATCTCATCGTACACGCGCTCCTCCATTCTGCAGTTGAAGCCTTCTTCCGTTCTCAATGCAGGTGTGTGGTTGAAGAAGTTCTTCCCCCCAGAGGCGGTCTCATAGCATTGCACTTTCTTGTAATGTTGGAAGAGGTTGTCCCACTTCTTGCCAATGTCGTTAGTCATCCTGTCCACCCCCACCTCCAGCATATACTTTTGAAGGTCCTGCAACTTCCACTCCCTATTGCGCATTCATCTGTAGTTGTGTGGCATGCCTTTGAAATGAGCTTGCTGATCCCTCTTCGCCCCGGCGAGCTTCAACATCTCCTTAATACTCCACGATGGATGTTTCCCAGCCTTCTCACTTGGCGGACCCTTCGAGCGGCGACCACCACGGGAAACAGCCTTCTCTTGACGCACGCCTCCACCCCTTTCTTTGCCACGCACAGGCAGGGGTCGAATCTCCATGTCGTCCGCGTCTTCCGCTTCGTCTCCACAAATCACATCTGTAGATTCGTAATCGCTCGCCCGTTGGGAGTCTTCCGCATTCAGTTCTCCACTCGCCACATGCATCCTGGACACCCCATTCATTATGTTCTCGGCAGCCATTTGACGCATCTGTCGTTGGCATGACTCCCAGGCCTGCCTGCCAACTTCGTCTGATCCGGCAACCCTTGTGTTCATCGCTGATGCGCCCATCCGCACTCAAAGGCGATGCCGAAGGGGGGGGCAACGACGTGCGAAACATGTCACCGGATGATCCCACACCCCGAGAAAATGGAGGCCACGGACGTCACTCATTAGGGCCCGCACCTTGCGGAGAGGACCTTCCACCGTGCACACTCGATCCGTCGATGGTCACACCAGGCATTGGGTTGAACGTGCGAGTGTTAGTAGCTGCTGGACCACTCCCGCTTGACAAACCAAAATCCAAGTCCACAATCTTCGTATCGCCTCCACCGACATCGCCCCGACGTCCTCTAGCAGAGCGGAGAACGAATGACGACTTGTCACGACCTCCCGTTGTCCACAATGGCCCCCCATCCAGTCCTGCGTCGATCCGCTCCCCAGAGACATGGTGCGGGACAGATCATCCACCCATTGCTCTTCAGGATCCGGCGGTAACGACTGCTCGTGAGGAGGGAGATGACTGTATAATGTCGGGTCATACGCGCCTGCAAGACACGCCCCGACCATCGCTCCTGAAGCGGAGTACTCTACGAGTCGACGGTGCGCGCCAGTTGTCTGTTGGATGCTTCAGGCCTCTCCATCATCGTCTTCCTCAAAGTTTGTCGTTTTCGTCCACCGTGAGGACCCCGCACAACGATGCACACGTGGAACAACACGCCAACGAGCAGGAGAAGAGTGGTCAGCAGCATCAGCGGGAACCGTCGGAGGACGTCTACTATGAATTGGAACGTGTGACGCGTGTACCAAACGAAGATTGCATCCCCATGGGCGACAATAGCAGACAAAACAAGCTACATCCAATACTGCAATCGGCTGGCAGTGTTTCAAGGTCGCTTGTAAAAAATTCGAAAAAATCCACCGTTGGACATGGAGGTCATCGATGCGCGCACGCAAAACCCCGCTCCGCGGAGCTTCGCGCACCTGAAGATCTGCCCCCACGCATTTTCGCACAAACGGTAACGGTCTAAAAGTTCTTGTTGGCCCGCCGGGTACTGGAGGCTGGCAATGTCCGCCCAATGGACCACGGACGACTTGTGCACCAACATCGACTCCGGATTCTAGTATTGTGGTCGCGAGCTCTAGAACGCTCCCTCTATCGCGGATCCTTTATCCTTAGGGACCTCGCGAGGACCACTTGAATCCAAGGACGTTTTGGCTGGGGATTCTGAGGAACCCAAGGAAATCTCTTGGGAGCGTTTTCACATTCGTTCAAGGGACTTGGCGATTTAGGACACGGTGTAATGACGCCAATTTATGATTTTGCGGTTTTCCAAAGAGGGTCTAACGAGGCCTTATATCCTTTTTTTGGATTCCAAATGGAATGACGTATGTTTCTTGTTTATGTCTCATGTGTTCTCGGGTCTCTAGGAGGGCACAGTCACAGTACAACGTATTTTTGCAAAATCGCAAATTTTATGTAGTTTTTCGGGTCACAAGAGACACATATTTTGCGTGTTCACACAAAAGGGCACGTAAATGTCAGCGGTCGGGACAGTCGCGGGCTTACATATTTTGTGGGAACCTTCAGAGGTCCCCGCAAAATCGTATTTCTTTTTTCTCTATTGCTTTCTGGAGAAAAAAAAAAAGAAAGTGCATTGTGTCGTTTGACTACAGACAATGTATTTTCGCATCGCAAGGCCAAGTCGCGACCATGATTTTTCTGCTTTGGACAACAAACGGGTGATCATTGTGTTACCTGTCCAGTTGGGCGATGTACATACAAAACCGAGGATCCGAAATGTGATAAAAAAGATTGAATGGACAATGCAGTGCAAGTGGAATCTCAACAAGCAATGTACATTCTGATACATACAAAATGGTGTTTTATAGCGCAGGGAAGACTTAGATACAAGTCTTGACCTGACCGGGACTAACCTCTCCTACGTTGTGCAATACAACATAGCAGAATGCCAGAATATCAATGACAACCCCAATCAATGTTGCAATGCAGACTAAACATACATCATTCTCATCAAAAGGTGTGAAGGGAGCCTAACGCTATACACATGACTAATGCACCGGCTCCAAATCATGCACAAACGAAGAGGAGGGAAACTTACGAAGAAGAGGAGGGGGGAGATGGGAAAGTCGTCAACACCAAGTCTTCGTTACGAGTCCCAAATAATCCCTCGTCAAAATGTCTGAATCCAAATGGCACCAAACTCTCTCTCTCTATCTATCTATCTCTCTCGTAGTCTCCTAATGTAGTGAAGTCCAGTGCCGGACCCATGAACGTGACCGGCACCGGTCACTTGAACGTGACCGGCCGTTCATTTGGTGTTTTTTTGGTGAACGGCCGTTCACGGTGAATGGGCCGACCACTAAAGAGAGGTGTTTTTTTTTTTTTTTTTTTTTTGGGCTCCCCCAGGTACATTCGCCTCAAGCCTCACAGCGTGGTGACATTTAAAAAATAAAATACAATCGGAATGACCTACAAAATAGCAAAAGAAAATGCTTATTTTGGCTGGTTGAATTTTGTTTTTTTTCGTTTTTAATTAAAAAAAATATTATTCGTGAATTTTTTTTTTTGAAAAAATTATAGGGAGTTACCCTTCGATGTCCCCCACCCTCCTATAAAAAAAAAAAC